TATCAAAAATTATTGTATAACAAAAATACACATACTGAAACTAAGTAGTCGTTTGCCTCCTTGCATTGTCCCTTTTTTATTATGAATCTCGTCAGGAGATAACCTTTCGGGGGGTAAGTCTAAGCGAAATGCAAAGGCATCATAATGCTTACTAATAACTAGGTGATAAAGAGTGCAATATCAATTCTTATGATATGTTAAATGCTTGTATAGCCATATACATTTATAAGAACTGTATACGAAATCCGGTATCGGTAGCTACTTAATAGAAACATATACTGTATTAAGTGTCATTTATTCGTTAGCATACTGATATCTTATATGATTGATTTTGAGGGACTATGCCTCCAAACAATTTCTATAATACAGTTTCCTTCTGCCAAATCTATATGGTTTCTCTTGCTAGCAATAGTATCAATGTACATACCGATCCGAAGTTGTATCTTCCTGCCAGCGTGAGAAGGTTTCTGAATGGAAAATATCTCCACCAACTGACCATGTCGTGGAGCAGGGAGAAGAGAAGCCTCCGGATCTGTCTGAGGTGTAGAAGAGGCCAGGCCGGCAAATTGTATCCTCTCTCGAGGTTAGTGGCAGCCTCGAGTTCAATGCAATCAGCAATTTTGATGAGTCGCTCCACGATTAGGTGATCTAGAGGTACCCTTTTGTTCGTCTCTTGCCAAGCGATGGCGCCCAGCCGAAACTCTGGCTTGGTCAACGGGTCTGACTCGATCCTGGAAGGGATCCTTTCTGGCATGTGTAGTTTTAATGCAACACTGGAAGTGATTTGAGAAGTAAGTAGGATGAATTTAGAACGTGCATCAGACTCACGTGAACAGGGATCGAAGAATATTAAGATGCCGCTTGAAAGCCTTTATAGATGCTCGTGTCTTTAAGTGAGATCGACAGCAGAAACCAGATTTTACAAAATATAGAAAATGTACATCTCATGACACGAAATCATCACAAGGTTTAAATGCCAATCTTTTGTATTTCGTTTCAGGTACAGTACATGGGC